CTTGAGACCTTATTTGTACTAGAGTTTGTTCTGGATTCTGTTCATTGACAGACTGAGGTTTTTGCATTTTTTCTCCCCTAAACCTCCCGTTACCTCTTCTGTTATTACAGACATGGCGAGGGTAACTCTTCTCAGTGGAAAATAAACCTTCAGATTTGAGCTTCCTCTTAAAATGAAGAAGAGAAGGTTTGCCCCGATGTCCAATTACACATATTACCCTCCTATTTAATTTTCTTTTGCTGAGTCAAGCAGATTCGACATAAAGTGTTTTTTTTATTGCTTGTTTTAAAAGGGAACTTTGTTGTGTCAGAAGAGGTCAACTCTTTTTATCCCTCCGAGGAATTATTATCTTTATGGCTCAAACAGAAGGAATTGGGGCTGATCAAACGTAATTTGGAGGGGAGAGCCTTTCAAAGTAACAAACAAAACAAAAAACTCTAACAATTTTGAGCGTAAGCCCTTTGAAATCGTCAGTGAAATAAGTCCATGATTTGGTTGAGTATATAGAATTCAAGGATAACTTCATTTGCGGATAAAGTTTTCTAACTTTGATGTTTACAGCATTGTTGTGGATCAGCCTTTTGGGTAATTCTGGGTGATTTTAATGGCATTAGATTGGATTCAATTAGATCCAAAGGGAGAGGCACAAATGAGGTGAGACTGGAACGTCTGGTACAAGGAGACCATTCTGAGAACACAGAATCTGAAAAGAGGTTCCTGTGCTTCAGGGGAACGAGGCAAGGGTTCCTGGTCCCAGCTACCCACATTTGCTAGCCTGGGGTTCCTGGGGCCTTCAGGATTCTTTGTCACTGCAGCAGCGTGCTGTTGTCAGAGGCGTTTGAACCAGAGTAACTCCATCTTGAATAGGGCCTGGGTAAAATGAGGCTGAGACCTCCTGGGCCACATTTTCAGATGGTTAGGCATTCCACATCACAGGATGAGATAGGAGGTCGGCACAAAAGCCACGTCATAAAGACCTTGCTGATTAAACGCCTTGCAGTAAAGTAGCCTGCCAAAATCCACCAAAACCAAGATGGCAATGAGAGTGACCTCTGGTTATCCTCAGTGCTACACTGCCACCAGTGCCATAACAGTTTGCAGATGCCATGGCAACACCAGGAAGTTACCGTGTGTGGTCTAAAAGGGGAGGCATGAGTAATCCATCTCTTATTTACCATATCATCAAGAAATAACCATAAAAATGGGCAAGCAACAGCCCTTGGGGCCACTCTGTCTATGGAGTAGCCATTCTTTATTTCTTTACTTTCCTAGTAAACTTGTTTTCACTTTACTCTGGACTCGCCCTGAATTCTTTCTTTCACGAGATCGGAGAACCTTGTCTTGGGGTCTGGATCAGAACCCCTGTCCAGTAACACTGTGATAGAAACTGTTAGAGGGCAGAGGGCAGGCAGCCATGGGTTCAAATTCCTTATGTCTCCACCTATCCTGGGCAAGTGATGGGACCTCTCTGAGCCCATTTATTCATCTGAAAATGGGGTGTTCGTACCATCTGCATTGCAGATTACCATGAGGATGAACAGTGAGATGCATGAAGTGCCTGGGATAGGACTCAACACATAAAAGGTGGGCAGATCAAATCCTCGGCGTGGATTTAGGCTTGATGAGTTCTAGATACCTAGGGGATATCCTGTCCTGCTCTGGAGTTTGTATAGAGGTCCAGACTAGAGATACAGATTTTGGAGTCACTGGCCTATGCATGAAACATGCAAACTCGGAGTGCGCATGCGTGTGTCAGGGACCAGGAGCGCACATGTGTGTGTCAGGGAAAGGTGGGCATGGGGAGGAGAGGAGGTGCCCATGTGGAAGACGGAGAGAGAGTGGTTGGAGAAGAAGAGACTTAGGCCTCCAGGGAGCAAAAACAGTTGGCTCTTGCAAAACCTAGAGTCAGAATTTATCACTCACGTGAGAGAGACTTGTTTTTATTGTTACGTTAAAGAGGTTTTAAAGATGTATATTGATATTCGCTGATTCAAATTACAATGGCCATTTATCATTGGAAGCTTTACCCTGTGGGCTGTTCTTGTATAATTTTTTAAAGGGCATTGATCTCTCTACCACTTCTCTGGTTTCCCTTGTGATATATTAGAGCTGCTGTATATCCTTGGAAGGTGCTAGGGCCTGTAAAAGACTGGTGAAACAGTGTTCGTGTTTTCTCTGCTTGGCTGAAATAAACAAGTTGTGCACCTGTGTGTGCTGGTCCCATCTGCATCTGACCTTTGTTCAGTTGGGCTGATCGTTGCAAGTCCAGATCTTGACCTTGGCCTACTCACTGCTAACCCACATCCAATTCCATCCCGTCGGTATGGTGTTCCCTGTGATCCTGGGCGTAGCTGCACTGTTTGTATACCTGAATTCTCTCCATATCGCCTTGGGTGGGAGGTGCTGCTCTGAGCTCCGTTTCGTAGTCAAGGAAATGAATGGCCAGAAGGGCTGCATGGCTTGTCTGACAGGTGAGTTGTACGTTACATCAGGGCTTCCTGAAATTGCCTACTTGTCAGAATCACTCGAGAAGCTTTGATGCATTAAGGATTCCTGGGCCTCAGGTGGTTAATGCAGCTGACTTGGTGGCTGGTAAGATGTGGAAAGGACTGCCCCTCTCCACACCAGATCTTGGATATGTTGGTGGAAAAATAACAATAATGACTTCTTGGTTATTTAGATTAAGGAGGTTTTCAAGCTCTTTTTGTAAAGGGCCAGAAGAAATACTTTTAGCTTTGCAGGCTGTATGGTCTGTTTCAGCTTCCTAACTTTGCTATACAGATATTCTTTGACTTATGATGAGGTTATATCCCGATAAGCCCATTGTAAGTTGAAAATATCGTAAGTTGAAAATGCATCTAATACATTTCACCTACTGAACATCATAGCTCAGCCAAGTCTACCTTAAACCTATTCAGAACACTTACATTCGCCTACAGTTAGGCACAAGCATCTAACACAAAGCCTATTTTGTAATAAAGTGTTGAACAGCTCATGTAAAATATCATACTGCATATCAATAGCCTGGAAAAAAGGTCAAAATTTGAAGTGTGGTTTCTACTCAATGCTTATGGCTTTCATACCATTATAATCTTGAAAAATTGCAAGACAGTTACCATCCTAAGTGGGATACTGTTTATATTGCAGAAGCAACCAAAACAAATGAATGTGGCTGAATTTGGCCCATGGGCTATAGTTTGCCCACCCTGATCTAGACAGTTAGTGTTATGTATGATGATCAGAGAAGGGATTGAACTTGCTCTCCATAGGATGTTTGGACTTTTATAAGAATATATCACAAGGAGTTACAGTTCATTCAAGATATATAGGATGACAGCCAGGCGCAGTGAGTCACACCTGTAATCCCAGCACTTGGGGAAGCCAAGGCAGGTGGATCACCTGAGGCCAGGAGTTCGAGACCAGCCTGGCCAACATGGCAAACCCTGTCTCTACTAAGAATACAAAAAAATTAGCTGGGTGTGGTGGTAGGTACCTGTAGTCCCAGCTAGTCACAAAGCTGAGGCAGGATAATCACTTGAACCTACGGGGAGGAGGTTGCAGTGAGCTGAGATCGCGCCACTGCACCCTAGCCTGGGCAACAGAGTGAGACTATCTCAAAAAAAATAAAAAATAAAAAAAATGTGTAAAGGACATGAAGAGACATTTCTCCAAGGAGAGAGAGAGAGAGAGAAGAGAGAGAGACAGAGAGAGAAAAGAGAGAGAGAGAAAAGATGTATAGGATGAGAGTTGCATTCAGCTGCTCAAAGACCCCTAAAACGTTAGCTTGAACAAATTAGAGATTAATATTTCTTGTTTGTTGAAAAAGCCTGGAGTAACTGATCTGATTATAGGTGTAGTGGTGTGACATCCGCAATAATGGGATTACACCATTGCTCCTAAGGTCATCAGATACCCTGGGGCTTCTGTAAACTTGATAGGCATTCTGTTTCTCCCTCTAACTCCATTGACATCATGTATCCATTCATTAATTGAAATTTGGTTTTAGTCTCTGATCCTTCTTCCTGTTTACAGAATAATGTGAGACGTTCTTTGGTAGCTGTACTAGAGTACAGACACATAATGTCTGTGTTTGGGGTTGATGAGTGGCTTTCATGTAGAGGCAGAATTTATCACATTAGAGATGCCTACTTTTCATGGTCATAGAGGTTTTAAAGATGTGTATTGACATTCATGGAGTATAAATTACAATAGCCCTTTATCCTTGGGGACTTTTCTCTATGGGCTGTTCTTAACTCAGGTAATTTTAAAAAGTGGATTGATCTGTCTCCTGCTTCTCTGTTTTTCCTTGTGATGAAGTTGCTACTTGCCCTTGGGAGGTGCTAAGGCCTGCAAAAAGCTGATGAAACAGCCCTCACATTTTGTATCCCCAGAGTACTCTCCGAGGAGTAATAACTTCATTAAAATAAGGAAATCCGGTGTCCCAGTTACACTTATCCCATCTGGCTGTGGCATTCTGTCTAGTGGGGCAGATCTTGGTCTGGCCCCCTCCCTCCTTTCTGAAACTGAATTCTTCCCTGTCTGTGTGGTGGTCAGTGCGATCCCACGCACCACCACATTGCTCTCCAAACCACCTTCAGAGCGAGGCACTGCTCTGAGCTCCATTTCACAGATGAGGAAACAAGAGGCCAGAAAGGCTGACTCGCCTGTCACCAGCAAGCTGTTAATGCTGCAGTACACATGACAGAAACATGAAAAATGCCTCTCTGCAATTAATTGGGCTGTGGATCTGTTGACGTTGGGAAAACAGCATACAGTATGTTGTGCCCATAACTTGCCTGATTCAGTCATTCTTTCCTGTACCCATCTGTTTAGCCAGCACCAGTGAGTCCTCTATGCCAGGACCTGGGCGTCCAGTGGTGTGTAACACAGACGTGACTCCTGCCGGAGTTGGTTTTCATGGGGAAAGCATTGCTGAAATCCTACTGCTTTATGATAAGGGTTTTAAGAGAAATGTACATTTTCTGTCTCTTTCTTGACAGGTCTACATCCGGATAAAAGACGACGAATGGAACATCTATCGGCGGTATACAGAGTTGAGGAGTTTGCACCACAAGTTACAGAACAAGTACCCTCAAGTGAGAGCCTACAACTTCCCACCCAAAAAGGCCATCGGAAACAAGGTACCGCTCCACGCCAGGAAACTTGCTTGTCACTGCTTGCGTTAAAACAGATTATTCATTCTTCTTCTTTAGTCTAGTACTTAAAAACAGGCTCCTTAAAGAAAAGTTGGCAGATATAAGCACAAATAGAAAAAAGGAATAGCCACTCATAATTCCACCACCTAAAGACAGTCACCATTACGTTGTGTGTGTGTATGTTCTGTTATGTCTTTATGGTGAAAATTGGAAAATTGTTTCTTTAAAGGGCCAGAGAGTAAGTATTTTTGGCTTTGGGAACTACCAATTCAGTGGCAAATACTCACCTTTGCTGGGGTTCTGTGTAAGCAACCATAGACAGTATGGATACAAATAAGCTTGGCTGTGTGCCAGTAACATTTTATTTTTAAGGATAGATAGCAGCTGGATTTGGCCTGTAGGTTAGTTTGCCAACCCGTGTTCTAGACCAAAAAATGCTCTTCTAGTTTTCACCCATAGTTGTCCTGGTGTTCACTTTGACTTGTGACTGTGGTGCATAACTTTCTCAGAGGAGTTTGTTGTTGTTGCTGTTGTTGTTATGTGGTTACTCGTCTCATAAGTGCAATGATTTATGAATACCCAGTTTGTTTCTGTGTATTCATCTGGGCATCCTTGAGGAAGGACGGGCTAGTCCTCTGCAAGCTCACTGGTTGATTAGTATTATTCACTCAGCAGTCATTAATTGAGCACCAATTGTGTGTCATTGTGCAAGGGGCTGGGTCTAGCCCTGGAGAAGACAGGCCTGGGTCTAGACCTGGCTTGGAGCCCTGTCACATGGTCAGCTTCAGCTAGGTGGCATCATTATGTCACTCCTCATGTTTGCTTAGGGAAGCAGTTCTCTGTCATGGCCGCACTTTGAAAACCACTGAGGGCTCCCTGTGTCCCATCTCCATCCCCATTCTGATTTAACTGATCTGTAGTGAGGCCTGGACATTGAGGAGTTAAATAGTTCTCTAAGCGATTGCACTCCGCGGCCAAACTGGAGAACCCTTGGCTTAGAATCAAGAAGGAGACAGGGGAACTTCATCAATTTCAGTGTATGTTTGATAGCTTGGCAGGGGCAGTCCAATCAGAGGAGGTGGAGCCATGACCTTTCCTAGGACATGTAAGACATCGGGTGTTGTATTGAGTGTGATCTCTCTACCATAGTCATTCTCAAAGTGTGGCTCCAGCCAGCCAGCAGCAGCAGCAGCCCTGGGAACTGGTTAGAAATGCACATTCTTGGCCTGACCCTAGACTTCCTGATTCACAAGCTGTGAGGCTGACACCCAGCAGTCTGGGTTTAATGAGCCCTCTAGGTGATGCTGTTCATGAGGAAGTGTGAGGACTGCCGTTCTATCTTTTGACAAAGCCACATGGCAGATGCTATATGGCATGAATCCCTAATTTCTATCTTCAGGAGGTACCTTGCTAGGTACCTTTGACTTTTGACTTTTATCACAGAAACACAGAGCAAGAGTTTCTATAACCCACTCCTGGCACTTGGGAACTTCACAGAGACATGTACTATTACCGACCCTTACATTTACATGTGTGTAGATTTCTGTGTATAAAACAGATTGAAATCTGATCACTTCAAGGTCTGCTCAGTTTAAATGTAAACAGTTGCAAAGCATGTTTATCCCAGGCCCAGAATATATTTGTCCTTATTTTTCTGTTGAGGAAAAGTAAAGCTGAATCCCCAGACACAGCAGACAGAAACTCTATACTTGTTCATAGTGAGAAGTACAAGAATTCTTTTGAAAAGGGGAAACAATTGTATACTGATTTGATCTAATGACCCGTAGGCTCGTACAAATCTTGGGACTCATTCGGAATGTCTTAAAATGTCATAAAAGAACTTGCTACTAACCAGTGTATTATCGTTATAAGACATTGTTACATCCAAGAAACGCAGTCCTGGCACAGCCCTTCCGGTGACAGCTTCTGGGCTGATACTGTCTGTGTTTTGTGCTAAGGGAATGCTGTGGTAGCACAAGGTGGAAATGAGGGAATTCGGATGGGAAAAGTCTTACCTTGTGTACAGTGAGTCCTGACTTAACATTGTCCGGGGCTGCTTGGGAACTGCAACTTTAAGCAAATGACGTGTTATGAAACGAACTTTACCATGGACAAATGGATATAAACAAGAGTTCAGTTCCCAGGGCATACAGTACTGTTTTTAGCTTAAAGTCATAGTTTGCAAGAACCTGTCAACAACGTTAAGTGAACTCTTGCTGTGTTAGTTTCCTCTTGCTGCTGTCACAAATCACTACAAAGGTAGGGAACTAAAACAACACAAATTTATTGTCTTAGAATTCCAGAGGTCAGAAGTCCAAAATCAGTGACGCCAGCTAAAAGCAAGGCGTCAGCTAGGGCTCTTCCTTCTGGAGCCCAGGAGCGAGTCCGTTCCTTGCTTTTTCAGCTTCTCAAGACCACCTGCATTTTTGCCTTATGGCCGTCTGTGTTCCAAGACATCACTCAGACCTCTGCTTCCATCCTCATAGTCACATTCTTCTCTGGTTGTGACCCTCTTCCTCTTAGAATTCCCCTGTGATCACATTGGGCTCACTCAGATCATCCTAAATAATCCCGGGCCCCACGTTTTGTCTCAATATCCTTACTTGATCACATCTGTTGAGTCCCTCTGGTCATGTGAGGCTCTGGGGATTTGGGTGTGGGCGTCTGTGGGGGCCATTTTTGCACCCACCACATATTACACATTATTCCATGCTTTCTCTGCAGCCTCAAACAACTCCCTTCCCACCTCCTCCCTCCTCAGGCCCCCCAGTTACACAAAACTTAAGGCAAAATAAATCTCACCAGTCCTGAGAACACTGGAGTACAAGGGTCAGGCTGAATGAGATGAGGCTGAGCCCTGAGGAGCAGGAGGGTTTTTCTGGGGTTGCGTCCCATAGAAAGAGAGCATGGAGCCATCCTGGGTCTCTCCTGTGCTGGAGGAGTAAACTGGCTTTTTCTGTTGTTGTTATTTATTTATTTATTTTTTGAGATAGAGTCTCACTTTGTCGCCCAGGCTGGAGTGCAGTGATGCAATCTCTGCTCACTGCAGTGTCTGCTTCTGGAGCAGGGAACTGGGTCTACTTCCTGCTCTCCACCCTACTCCCCAGGCTAGAGAGACAATCAGTCCCTGCTAATCCCGAGGCTGGCTCTTCGCAGCAGCAGACCTTTTCCCTCTGAAGACTGTGTCAGCCAAACAACATGCTTTCTTTCCCCCCAACATAATCCTATTTGCAAATAAACAAGCCTGAGAATAAAAGACACCATCTTAGTGGGCCTGGCCCAGTAATGACCAACTATACAGGTACACAGGCTGATTCTTAACCAGATTTATGGTCCTGCTCCTGGCAGCGGGGGTGGATCTGACCACTCAGGTCATGAGCAGTTTTGGGGCCACAGCCCCATTTCTACCCTGTGCTGCCTTTTTTATTTTTAATTAACTTTTAATTAGCTGGTTGAACTGTGATTGTCCTTTTTTTTCCCCGATACCTAATCTTGCTCTGTGGCCCAGTCTGGAGTGCAGTGGTGAGATCTTAGCTCATTGCAGCCTCCGCTTCCTGGGTTCAAGCAATTCTCCTGCCTCACCCTCCCAAGTAGCTGGGACTACAGGCGCCCACCACCACACCCAGCTAATTTTTGTATTTTTGGTAAAGATAGGGGTTTTCCATGTTGGCCAGGGCTGGTCTCAAAGTCCTGATCGCAAGTGATCCTCCTGCCTCGGCCTCCCAAAGGAGAGGCCATGCCTGGCCCTGCAATTGTCCTTTGATTGCTTCTTTCTTTTTCTCTGCATTTGGCTAGGACATACCCACTTCCCTTAAATCCCCCTTAGCTGCTGCTCAGGGACAGAGCTGAGGGATTCTTCCAATTTCCAAGGGAGGATTGAGTCAAGATGCAGAACCTTCAACACCCAACAGAGGCCATAGGTGGATTCAGTTCAAGACCAAGCTTATGCTGGCCCCAACGGAGCCTAATAGCTCAGGATACCTGCTTTACTATCACAAGGGAAAAAATTTCTGGAGTGCATTGATTCTGAATTGGTCCAGAAAAATCCGCCACATTATAATCCTTTCTTTGATTGGGTTACTTCAAGGATAGCTCACATGTCTGCTTGGACCATTATGGTACACATCCAGACAAGACGTCTTTGACTTGACTGCATTTTTTTCTTTTTTTCTTTTTTTTGTTTTTTTTGAGAGAGGGTCTTGCTCTGTCACCCAGGCCAGAGTTCTGTGGTGCAATTGTAGCTCACTGCAGCCTCAAACTCCTGGGTTCGAGCGACCCTCTTGCTTCAGCCTCCCAAGTAGCTGGGACCACAGGCACACACCACCACGCCCAGCTAATATTTACAGTTTTTTTTTTTTTTTTTGCAGAGACAGGGTTTCACCATGTTGGCCAGGCTGGTTTCAAACTCCTGGGCTCAAGAGATCCTCCCACTTCAGCCACCCAAAGTGCTGGGGTTACAGGCATGAGTCACTGTGCCCAGCCAGGGTTGATTGAATTTTGCATGCCTTGTTTCCCTTAAGCCTTGAACCCATTAAATGGTTCACTGCAGAATCCATAGACCTAGATGTTATTCAAGGAAATAATAATCATAGTTTAGTCTTGTCTCACTTGTCAGGTGAGTATTCTTCTAGCTTGTATTTCTATGTATTTCCCCCGCAAGGTCATGATTGCTGACTGTCTTGACAGTTTTATAATTGAAAGTGCTCTTAATCCCAATTTGAATCTTTTTTAATTGACAAAACAGGCATATTGTATAGTGTATGGACCCAACATTTGCCTTTACCAAAGAATCTGTTGCCTTAATATGCCATGCATGTGTGTAATTGTACGTTCACAGGATACCCAGAGCTTTCTCTGGAGGTATCCATGCCTTCATGTACTGTATCAAGTTCAAATCATATTGAAATAGTTGGCCTGAATATCAGCTCAACACTCAATGAAGTTTATTCTTTCATAGCTGAGTCAAGCCATGATAGGTACATATT